TAATATGTAGAGAAAAATGTTTTAAACGGTTGAGTGTATTGATTCGTATAATTAGTTGCAGATTATACCCAGAGCATGTTAAATTATCTGCAAATTTGACAAGCATCATATATTTAAGCTGCACTAGCCTTAAAGAAGCACATCAAACCAAAATTCAAGCCATACATTCTAGGATACAACTCAAGTTGCAATATAGTATGAATATAAACAAGATATTAGAGTAGAGCGTATAGCAAATCTCTCGCTTAATTTTAAAAATATTCCCGACGAATACTCTCCCATATGCCGTTATGGTAACAAAAATCGAACTTCACTAGGAATTCCTGGGCTCAAAACCTTTGACTCAATTTGGGGCAAGAAAATTTGAAAACTATCTGAAACAAAATCGGAAGACATCTTTACTGCCTGAGAATGGTTCGAGGGGAAACGATTAGCAATGCAAACATTTGGGGCAACAATAATCAAAAAGATGCTTTTCATTGCAATAAGTCCCTACTGCGCCGATGAGAAGCAATAGCGTGACCGAAATTCACCGCAACGTGCGGAATGAGGGCGAACAGGAATAGAAATGTGCAAACAATCACTATTCGCGGACAGTGAGGCTTTGAAATCGCAACACAAGGCATCAAGTGCTGTACAATAGCAATGTACGCTAATAGCATCTAACACAGTCCGAAAACGTTATAAATAGTTTCAGGAAGGAAGAAACTGATTGAAAAATATTGGATAAAACATACTTGCACCAATAACTTGAACCGATGAACTGATGAGAATCGGTTCCGGGAAATAATGACCAGTATGCAAGAGAATTAGCTTCTCACGATCTGGTTCAGCATCAAGAAATCTTAAGGAGGGATCTACGTTTTTCTTCGAAGAGATAGAATGTAATTATACTCACTGAAGTGCCTGTGTCAATGTTTCAAAATGCGGAATACTCCGTCCAATGTGACCCTCGTATATCTGAGCGTATCTCGGTCGAACATGTACACCATGACGCTGAATCAAAATCAGAAATGATAGAAAAAACCTAGGAAATATTTCAAAATGAAGAATCAATTATGAAAAACGTGACTCACAAGTTGTCGAAAGCTTTCCTTCCATGGATTCAGAGTGTCTCGCCATCTGTGTGGTTCGCGCAATTCGAATTTTCCATGTGTGGGATGATACAGAGGCACGGCGTATTCGAAGGCACCTTGATATAACGTTTTCCTGAATAAAAAGTTTGCACGGTAGCATATTTCAACAATACAAAAAAA